GAGAGAGGGAGAGGGGGAGAGAGAGAGAGAGAGAGAGAGAGAGAGAGACATATCAGTGTGAGAGAGAAGCATTGATTAGCTTCATCCTGCACACACCCGGATGGGGGTTTAAACCTGCAACCTAGGGATGTGTCCTGACCCTTAATCCAACCTGCCACCTTTCAGTGCATGGGGGGACACTCCAACTGAGCCACACTGGCCAGGGCTATTTATTTAATTATAAATTAGCACCAAAATTATAAACAAATTTTATATGTATTTCTATTCTCTGAACCTCAGTAGTTGATATTTCTGAGCTCAGAGGGTCAAAAATCAACTAATAACCTACACTCTACACTCTTCGTGTGTAAGTAAACTACCAAATGTAAGCTCCATGAATGCAAGATATTTTTTTTCCAGTTTTTTACCCCCAGAACCTAGAAAAGTGACTGGCACGTGGTAGGCACTTAATATTACTGAATTAATGACTTCTGAAGATCAGAATCACTAAGCAATATGCTTTCTTTTTATATCAGGAATCATCCTGGCCTCATAAGCAAGACTTGTGTATTAATCACACAACCTTCAATAGACATTAATTCTGAGGTTCGTTTTTTTTATTTACTTATTTGTTTTTAAGGAGGTATGTTTTGCTTACCTTGAAAAAGTATCTCTATGTATTGCATCATAGAAATGAAATATGCATAATTTATCATTATCTAAGAAATATAAACTAAACTAAACGCCCAGTGACCACGTCTGTCACAGGACAGCCTGGGGGAAGGACCCTGAGTCTGGACATGGGTCTCCCACCCCCTGGTCCTGCACCACAGGGAACGTTACTGCCCCTGCTCGTTTGCCTCAGTTTCCTCATCTGTGGAATGGGAAACATAATTTACTGAAAAGAGCTGTTGTGAAAATTAAATTACTTGGTAAATGTAAATCTCTAGAATAGTGTCTGACATATAGTAATTGCTCAATTAGTGTTACCTAGCACTATGAAGACTCTAAGAAATGCCTTGGTTTATACATCATAGGAGCATACTCATGACCTACTGACTTTTAAAATCTTAAACAGAATAAAACAAGAGAAATGCATCTGTACCATGTACAAGTTTCACGTTTACAGATAAATTAGGGACAACGTGAACTGATGATCAAAATTGGGGAATAAGGTAGAAACTTCCTACTTTTTCAGAGAAGAATCCATGAAGTAGAATTTCATACTTACACATTGTTTTCTGATTAGAAAAAAAAAAGATAAAATCCCACTTAATCCACCCTGTTGACATAATGTATTTCCTGTCCTTTTTTTTCTATGCATATATGTGAAATTTTATATAATTAAGACTGTAGTGGGGGAGGGAGGGGAGGAGAGGGGAGGGGAGGAGAGGGAATGGGAGGGGGACGGAGAAGAATAAATGGAGTGAAGAGTTGAAGTGGGGAAAGAGGATGGGGGTTTCTGCATAGCGGTCCCCTATGTTCACATTCCTCTTCCAAGAGACTTGGATTGAGAGACGCGGACTCATAGCCTACTGTGCCATATGAAATGTCCTTGCTGCTCACTACACCTTAGCCCACCTCTTCTGGGAAAAGCAAAGAGCCTGCCAGCCTCAGCGTTTTGCATATGCAAAACAGCAGATCAGATGCATCCGGTAGCTCCCATCCTTGAGACTCACAGCTACTGGCATGTGTGCTGGGAAGTGCGGGTTTGGGTAAGTTAGGAGCACAGTGCCCGTGATTTCTGACGGTGTCCTGTGTCTTTATCCCCCTTGGGTACCACTATCTGGTCTGAAATAAAGAAGGTTACTATTAAAAAGGGGAAGGGGTGGGAGTTGGAAATCTCTGAATTCCATTTTAGTGGACCTTCTCTCATCCTTTAGAAGTAAATATTCTTTATGGATACAACCTCTGAAAGGGAGGGCCCTCTCCGAAAAGGAAACTGACTATCCCGGAAGGGGTGGGAGTGCTGGTGAAGGTGGCGGTGGGCAGAGGGACATCTGTAATCGTGTCGACATAAAAATAACGTCTTAAATAAATCAATAAAACTAGAAAAATAGAAAATAAGAAAAAGAAAATCTACTATCAGGCTCCTCTTATTGTCCCCAACAGCAGTTCCACAAACTTGGACTATATACAGATGCTGGATCACAACCTGAAAACAAGAAAAAGACATTGACTACCCCACACCCCCGGAGCATGGGCCCAGGCCCTTGTGCTGGGACCTGAGCATCCCTCCAAAATAAGGACCCTGCGGAGACACGTGCTCTTGTAAAGGCCCTCGGGATACTAGCCCAGCCGATACTGAAACTCTTTTCTGGTCACGTCCACATGAAAATCACACTTCAGGAGCCTGAGTTTTACAGCAGGTGCCAGGAGTCCGCTCTCCACACAGCTTAGCTCTGCCCCCAGGAAGAAGGGCTCGGCTTGTACAGGCCCTTCCTAGGCTGCAGATGACTTGTGACGGATGACTAAATAATCCTGGGGGGCGTTACCTAAACACTCACAACCCAAACCAACACAAAACAAACCAGGAAACGAGAGACAGGAAACAGGAAACCTCAGGCCTCGAATAGGAGGCCATACTTTGTCCTGCTGCCTCCCCCAGCTTCCTCTCACTCTGCTGCCGGGGCCCGCACAGGGACCACCTGTCCCATCATGCTCTCTGCTTGCTCCATAACCAACAAGCAGCAAACTGCAGACCCTCGAGGATCTAAATGACAACAAAGACCTAACACATTCATCTCAAAGCAAACAATTCTAAGTTTTCCTATTTACCCACAGCAGAGACCAAGGAGCCTAATTTAAAACCAAGTGAACACACCGTGATTTCCGTTTCCCTCTGTGAGGTTACAGTACAGGGCGCAGTGATGAAACCTCTGCTCACCTACAAAATACAGTACACCTGTGATCTCGAGCTCCTTCAGAACATCGATTCAGCTTTTTTAATAGTGTAATAGTTCGCGTTTTTTAAACCAGGGTTTTCACCCACTTTGGGGAGGCGGAGATTCGCTTTTGACTTGCCCACGGTTTAACACCCCCCCACCACCCCACCACCCGCCCCGCTGTAGACTAGCATTTCCTACTAGTGCATCGCACTTGGGGGTGCAGGGCACCGTGTGGCTCCCCGGTGCCCATTTCCTGCACGCCCCTTCCCGGAGCCCGTGCCAAGAATCAAATCTTGGCCACTTAGCGCCGTGCGCTCCACATGTGAGCTCACGGCGCGCTGAGCAGCGTGCTAACGGAGATGGATAGCCTGTCAAGCAGGAAGCTGGCACGCCAGGATGCAAGCAGTGGGATACAATGACCTTTACAATCAGGGAGGAATATCCCTAAAATGGCATGAAAAGTGTAGGGGGGGCGGGGGGTGACCCTTTTATTTCATAGCGTGGAATAAAAGCATGCTGCCAGCATGCAATTTGCTCCAGATCACATCTTGAATCCTTCGCACCAGAAGGAAAGTCCTGAGAGAAAGGAAGGGAATCATCCTTTACTGAGCTGCTGTGGCAACAGCGGACGGACACCACGATTCCCTGTAGGCGGCGCGGGACCTCCGAGCGCTCCGAGTGGGGTTCCGAATGCACTTGGGCTCACCAGAAGCCAACATGCTGGACCCCTGGTTTCGGATGGGCTGTTATTTTGGGAGAACTAAGATAGAATTTAGATACTTCACGACAGCATTTTTTTAAGGTACTGATCTGCTCACAAAATCAGAGCCCAGAGCTTGATCACTGAAATCCCATGTCCTTGGTCACCATATTTGTTAGTCTGCATAAATAGCTTAATCTCTCCTGGTTTCCTTATCTGAATAAATAGATGTTCTGACTGATAGCTCCTAGGCATTTTTGGAAGAGGAACGAACTCATACACAAAATAGCAAAGATCCTTGGCACAGCCGCACGTGTGAAGATGGTAATTTATAGGAATATATGTAGGAAATTGGGATATAACACAAAACCCAGAAGTCATAGGTTTCTCTCCTCTAGTTATAACTATTATCATAAACTATGCAATTCAGTCATTTCAGCTGGAAAACAAGGATAATCATTCCATTGAGTCAAAAAAATTTTTCTATTCTTCAAGGTTTGGGGGCTGTTTGTGTTGTTATTTGTTTTGTCAGTCCTTTGGCAGGAAGAACAATGGGCTCTGCCTAGAAGGCGGCCGCCCAGGCTCACAATGGGCTCCCAGCCGCACAATCACGCTGAAATACTGATGCAACTTTAATATTCAATTAACTAGGTAAGAGGGATTGATCACAATGACACTGAGATTTTCTTTTCTTTTTTTTAATGAATGGATTACATCAAAACTACAGCGCAGTATTCAAAGACACAAAAGTCAGATGCATCCATTTTTTTTTCTATTTAATTAAAAGCCGATTGTAAAGTGTGGAAGTTGCAGTAAATACATCTTTAAAACTGAGCGCTTATAAATCATGTACTAAAGTTTGGCAAGTTAGGAATGAACACCTCAGCACCAGCTCAAAAACATACCCGTCTGGGGACTCAGAGAAAATACCAGGGTTATCAATGAAAAACAAACCATCAAACACACCGTGGGATGATCACTTTGAAATGCAAGGTGGTTTGGGTGGCTCTAGAGGTGCTGGTCCAATCTTTCCTAAAGCAACCAGAAAATAAGACTCCACCCTGCCAAGCGTGGCTCAGGGGTTAGGCGTCGACCTATGAAACCAGGAGGCCACGGTTCGATTCCCGGTCAGGGCACAGGCGGGGTTGCAGGCTAGATCCCCAGTGTGGGGTGTGCAGGAGGCAGCTGATCAACGATTCTCTCTCATCACTGATGTTTCTATCTCTCCCTCCCTCTCCCTTCCTCTCTGAAATCAATAAAAACACATTTTTTTTAGAAAAGACTCTGCCCAAAATATTCTGCTGTTCACTGTTTGAGAAAGATGCTCCATTTGACCGTTCTCCTCCAACCCGTGTTTGGAGAATCACTTCGGGGAACACATTCTCCCCCACATCACGACAGACAACAGGGAGGCGGAGGGGAGGGGATGATACCTTGGGCCTGGGCGGCGGAGCTGTGGGAGTAGCCCAGGGCCAGCAGCGCCGTCTCCACCAGCTGGCTGAAGAGCACGTCCTTCCGAACCAGCACGAACTCGGCGTGTTCTTCTCTGTTGTCATATTCGAGAGAGCCGTCCAACTGCTCCACCACGCAGAAGACAGGAATCATCAGCCCTGCGGGGACACGAGGCAAGAGCAAAACGCAAACATTACCCAGCGCGTCTCCGTCACCAGGACGAGAAGGGAAGGGACAGTCGTAAAAGTCACTCATCTGTGATCCGTGATGGTTTAGATTAAACAAGCCTCTCAGTCAGATGGGCCTAATGGGAAAGCTGGGGGTCCCCCCTCCTTCATTGCTCTCGGGCCGCGGCCGGACTGCCCTGGGCCCCCGGGGAAGGCCTCCGACTCTAGTCATTAAAAGGGGGGCCGCACCAGTCAATCGGCCGAGTCCTGCCTGCGACCTGAGCTCCCCGGTGGCACATAGGTGAGGTCCAGGCGACCTGCGGGCCCCTGGCACCCTTCCCCTTCGAGTCTATGGTTTTATCATTAACGATCAACCAGGAGGACTATTTTCAGGTCAGAGCTGCTTTGGTCGGAAAGTGCTGTAAATTACCCAGTAGGATGGTAGGCTCGACGTCAGGGCCTGTGCCATTGTGTGACCATGTACCGGGACGTCAAAAGGCGTGTAAGAGACGTTTCTCCTGTGTATTTTATGTTCCTGAATCCTGATAAATAGGTCATCCATGAGCCTGAAATAACCCGTCCATGAACGTCCTAACTGACGGTGAGCTTAGGTCACAATATACATCGAAATAAAAAGACTCTGTCCTCTTTAAAATTATGATTTTTGTCCATCAACACCCATGACCAGTGGAAGGGGACTGTCTCTTGTGTTTTCAGAGAAAAGAAGTAAACTCCCCCAAAGAATAAAGCAAATTAGTCTCATTGAAAATCTGTTGAAATCTGTTGTCACTGAAATATTTCTCTGCTTTGTATCAAAGTGTGAAAAGCTAAAAAATGCTTAATTTGCCAAAGGTTTTTATAAACTGTTTTTTATTTTTAAAAAAAAGTTGTACAGGAGTTTAAATCTAAACATAGCCAAGGCATAAGAAGATCAAAGTTTCACCAACATACAAGTAATAAACATGGACTCTGTCCCATGCGACCTACACCAATGAGCGTGTTATGGACTAACAATGGGCTCTGGATCTTCTCTCTGTGCAAGAAAAATCGACAGTTGTGAAGGATGGTGGGCAGGCGGAGAGAGGGGGAGGTGGAGGGTTAGTGTCACTGTGAAGGCCCCTCACGCTGAAGGTGACACCTCAGGGCAATGCTGTGCGGAGGGCGCAGGAACTGTGCGCGAAGCCCCTCCCTGTGGCCGGACCCTGGCAGCCTGACTCACTCTGATCTGGACAGAGAGGGTGGCAGCAGACACTCCGCCAACGACCAGCTCGCAGATTTTTGTTCTGAAGATAATACAAAGGCACAACTGGTTCCCAGGTGCTAATTATTATTATTAAAGATACTAAGTATTGGGTGTCATTATTAAGTGTAATCCTTATTAACAATAATAACACTCATTAGGAACTGTTATCATTAGAGATCGGGGTAATTGTTATTAAGCCGGCACAACACTCTAACAAGTCACACCGTATCATCCCTGGGACGACAGTGTTCACTCTGGAGAACAGCAAAGCAGCCGTACTGCTTAGAGCAAATGCACCATCGATGGGGCAGATTTATGGGAAACAAGAAATAAGGATGGAGCAGACTGACTGTCCCAGACAAAGAAGGGAATGCAGCCTGGCCACGGGGTGCCTTGCAAAAATACCTTTTTAAAGAAATGCTTATTTATTTATGCCCAGTGTATTCCCAAATGTAAGTAAGGCATGTAATGAATAGTAAAAACTAGATGTCCTTCAAATTATCTCATTCATGTATCCAATTTGTATCCCCTGAACACCTACTGTGTGCCAGGTAGTCCCAGTGAGAGCAAGTCTGATTGGCTGCTTCCCTCAATGCTGTTGCAGGGGCTGTAAAATCTTCTGAAGCAAGAATAACAACATTTATAGGACCCACTCCTGAGAGGCCCTCCCGGCAGGGAACAGCCCCCTTTCAGACCTTTTAGCTCTCACATCTCTGTCTGAGGAAGCAGGTGGATTGCTATTTTTAAAGATTTCAATATATGCACATATGGGGCCATGCAGTCAGGGGAGCCATAAGCCACCTCACCACTAATACCTGTGTGTACGTGAGTCTCGACACTGACAGCCCATGTGCAGTTCCTAATGCCAACACCTGAGTGTCACCCACCTGGGAATCACAGATAAGACCTTCCCATGAATCCAGGGGCTCCAGGAGCTATTACGTATCCATTACTTAGGAACCATAAATCCTCCTCAAGTGTAGGGTCGATTGAGAAAACTTAAGACCCTATTAATTCTTAAAAATGATATGAATAGTTCAATGAGCTCACTATGAAATACAGCATCAGAGCACAGGGGTCTACTCCATGTAAGGCCTTACATTTTGGAAGTGTCAATGACCGAAATCCTTCCTAAACATTTAGTTCAGTGACTGAAGGAAGCAATTGCTATTGGACATGATAACCATAACCCCTCCCAGTCAGAGGGCAAACACCCATCCCTCACACGCATCACCTACTTTGTCAGAAAAAACAAAAACAAGGGATTTGAGGTCATTTGTAAAATAAAACAATATTAACCAGGAGAGGGTGATAATAAGCTTGTTCTGAAGCCCATATGTATGAGATACCAAAGAAAATCATAAACAGGTTATATTTAATCCCTAGAAAAATGTACCTCTCCCCTAGGATGTCATCATTTTAAACAGTTATGAATTTTTTACACTGAAATACAACCGTTACAAAAGAAGGGGACGACAGGAAAAACAGGCTCAATTTCTAGTGACAATGACAAGAGAGATGAAAAATAGTACAATTGAGGTCAATTGTGGGGAAGAAGAAAATTAACATCCAGGTTCTTAAAGCCTTTAATAGCAACTCCGTGGGGGGTGGGGAGATGACAAAAGAATGTGTAGAAATATATTCCATAAAAAGGTATTTATCCGTTTGGTCCCTCCACTCTCTCCAGGCAAAATGAGAAAAAAGAAAGAGAAGGAAAAAGTGGCAACAGATGAAAACATAGAGACTGTTTGGAAAGCACTTCAAAAAAATAAATTAAGAATGGGAAAAATTAAAAGAGAAGTCCAATAAAAGAACAGCCATGTAAAACTAAAATGCTCTGACAACAAAATTTAGAAATAACCAAGAAGAAACAAGCCACCCTTGCCCTAGCCCTGCATCGAGCGCTCATGGCCTTATTTTTCTGACTGTAGCACAGACCCATTTCCAGAAGATCAAGTGGAGACCTTTGAGCCTTTGCATCGGAAGCCTCACTAAGCCTTTTACAATCGTGGGAGGGGAGCCGGGAGTTTAATGCAGGGGACAGGCACAGAGCCACAGCCATTCGAAAAAATGACACGTGGTTCTGCCGAGTGGGCTAAATGGTGAATCTGTTGTCATAGAGGCAAGATAAGCATGAGACTCTCTCTCTCTCTCCTAGAAAAATGCTTTCCCAACTCTCAGTAGTGGCCCTGCTCAAAGTGCCATTGTCATCGCGAGGTGATTTCTGAGGGGTGTGTAATTAGAAAGAGCCACCTGCGCTTCGCCGCCCGGCCATGGGCACAGAGACCTGGAGGGAGGTGGTGGGAGATGGGGTGACTAAGCTCGGAGTCAGGAGGCAGGCAACCTGGAATCCAATCCTGGCACTGTCCCTCCTTCCCTGAGAGAATGACCTGGAATCATGTATTTGACCTCAAGTTCCGCTTAGCAAAACTCAAATGATAATATCCGCATCCCAGAGCTGCTGTGAGGAATAAACAATGCAGCCTAGTTAAATGGTCTGACAGCCCTCAAACGGTGGAAGCTATCTGCTTTTCTTTTTTTCAAAATCAGCATTCATACATTTTATGGAGAAAAAAGAGAGAGAGAGAGAGAGAGAGAGAGAGAGAGAGAGAGAGCAATAATTTTTTTTCAGGGTCCCATAATCAATACTCAGGATACTTACTAAAAAGCATTTCTTCGTAATAAAACTATTACTGATAATCACGGAGTGGCCAGATTTTATAAGATGCAAATAATAATGGCCTAACAGGTTCAACGTGCCCAATAGCCAAATGGTAACGGTGGTAAGAGCACCTCTCCAATACAACAGCCACTCACCACATGCAGCTGCTGAGCACCTGAAATATGGCTAGTCCTGAATTGAGATGTGTTGTAAGTACAAAACACACACTCAATTTCAATGATTTCGTAGCAAAAAATAAATACACCATGAATAATCAAAATTAACTGAAATAGAAATAATATTCTGAATAAAACATCATTAAATTATTTGCACTTGTTTCTTTAACTTTTTTAAAATAAAGCTCCTAGAGCCTGGCCAGCGTGGCTTAGTGGTTGAGCTTCAATCTATGAACCAGAAGGTCACGGTTCGATTCCCGGTCAGGACACATGCCTGGGTTGTGGGCTCAATTCCCACTGTGGGGTGTCCAGGAGGCAGCTGATCTATGATTCTCTCTCATCATCGATGTTTCCATCTCTCTCTCTCCCTCTCCCTTCCTCTCTGAAATCCATAAAAATATATTAAAAATAAGTAAATAAAGCTACTAGAATATTTAAAATTACATGTGTATCTCGTATTTTTTTTTCTATCAGACAGAGCTGCTCTAAGCAATCTGCCGAACACCAGCACATACAATGGCTTTCTGACACAGGATAAATTCATGAGAAACGGTAACTAGGAAACTGAATGACTGTCATGAGCATTTCTGAATGCTCCTCCGTCATCACGCCTCTGTGTTTCAGGTCATAGGAGACCTGAGGGCAGGTGTCCTGTCGGTGAAACTGCAAAACCGAGCATGATGTCTTCTCCGTATCAGCAAGCAAACTGTAGGCTATGGTATTCCTAACTCTATTAATCCAGCTTCTTTAATCAGGAAAAGGCTTTTTTCCCCTTCCTTCATTTTAAAGAAGAACGACAGCGTTCCAGAAATACCACGGCACTGCCACGAAAGGGCCTGAGGAGCACGCATCCTGCAGCACTCACTGTGAACGATGCAAGGTCCAGCAGACGACAGGGTTCCACGCCTTC